TGGCTGTATCCCGTTGTCCGTGGGATTGAACTGGAGGTGATGGCGGTGTGTCGTTCCTCCTCGTTCTTGTCCATTGGTGTTTGATTGCTGGCGTTGTGTGCGTTTGTTCTGTGGAGGGCCGAATCTTCTCACCCGCGGACTGGCAGCACTGTGATGGTATGTGTGTGTGAGGGCTGGTGTGGAGTTGCCGGCCAGGGCGATGCTTTTCCCGCAATTTGTTTCTTCCGTGTTTGTTGTGCTGCTTCTTGCTTTTCCCCTCTCACCCTTTCCTGCTGTGTTCCTGCGTGGAGTGGCCGCATGCTCACGGGCCATGTTGATTGTGAGTGCGTCGTGACGGCATCCATTCATTTCTCTCCGCCTGTCTGTCTGTCATTCCCTGTTGGGTGTGGCGTGTTGCACCGCGTGAGGGCTGGCCCGCACACACCGACGGCCCGCCGTGACGCCCGTGATGGCCGGTGCGGAGTGGCTCTGTTCGCTGTCTCATCTCTTTACTTGGCTTGTTTTCCCTTTTCCCTCCACTTCCTGAACACAGACACGCTAGGAAAGCAAGCAAACAAGCGCGAATCGCCACTGTGAACTTCGAAGACACTGAAAGGACCAACAGCACACACACCGCCCACACACATATTTATATGCTCTCACGTGTTGCTGCAGTGGAGACACCCCGCACACACAACCGTCGCCGCGTGGCCGGATCCAGCGGAAGGAGGAGGGAAGGAAGAGAGAGTGAGCCGCCGAGGCCCAACATGTCCCGGCGTGTGTTTGATTCCACGGTGCTGCTTTTTTCCCTCTTGTGGATGATTTGCTGCGGCAGTGGAACTGCACACGCTGTGGTGAGCAAGTTAGGGGATGTACATCTACCGTAATTTGTTGATATTTTTGTGCCGAATAAGATGCCGGTGGTGTCAAGGGATGTGACTGGGTTATTTGAAGTGAAGAAAGCATTTGTTTCACCCTCTCTTCCGTGCTGGTGGGGTGATGGTTGCCATTGCTGAAGGCTTGTTTGAGTATAAAGTACAGGAACACAAATTGTTTGTGGTTCGATTTCCCGACATTGTGGCCGGGTACATCAAGGCTGCGGAGAAGTGGCAGTCCATTGTTGCTGAGGTCAATGCTGGTAAATGGAAGGCACGCACCGTGCTTGGCAGTAGGAATGGCGATAATCTTTTGCGCGTTTTGCACCTGCCCACAGCAGTTGCGAGGGTCAGTGAGGCGTTTCTACTTGTGGGAAGCGATACTTTAGGATATGACAGTAGTGATGGTATTTAGGAGATGGCTGGGATATTCAATTGGTTGAGGGTGTGGCCACGCAGTCCAAGGACGGCGTGCGGAGTACACTGATCAACTGGGCTGAACCCAAGTCGCTTTTACAACAGATACCCAATCACACTCAATATCACCTGAGGGATGTTGTGACTGCTGGTGGTTCAGGCATTGTGATGCAGAATAACACGCTTTTGTTTCCCCTGGTGGTGAATGGGAAAAATTACCCTTTCTCCTCGATCACTTATTCGACGAACAACGGCAATAACTGGGTGTTCCCAGAGAGCATTTCTCCTGTAGGATGCCTTGATCCCCGCATCACCGAATGGCAGACGGGACAAATTCTCATGATCGTTGACTGCGAGAGCAGCCAGAGGGTGTACGAGTCGCGTGACATGGGGAAAACGTGGACGGAGGCTTTTGGGACACTCTTAGGCGTGTGGGTCAAGTCACGATCAGGATTCCGTTGGGAAGAGAGTTTGCGTGTTGGAGCTCTCGTCACCGCGCCGATTGAGGGCAGGAAGGTCATGCTGTACATTCAGAGAGGGTACGCCTCGGGGGAGAATGAGGCCAATGCGCTCTACCTTTGGGTCACGGGCAACAACCGCACTTTTTCTGTTTGACCGGTTGCCATGAAGGATGGTATGAATTGGTTGTTCGCCAGTAACCTGCTGCACTCGGATGGTGCGTTGCACCTTTTAAAGGAGAGGGCCAATGAAAATGGCAGTGCCATTTCACTTTCCCTCCAGACGAGGAGCTGAAGACGATTAGCTCCGTCCTCAGTACTTGGTCACAGCTGGACGACTACTTTTTCAAGTCGTCCACACCCACGGCTTGTCTGGTTGGATTCTTGTCCAACGCAGCCAGTGGTGACACATGGATCGACGAGTACCGTTGCGTGAATGCATCCGTGACGAAAGCATCAAAGGTTGAAAATGGGTTCAAATTCACGGGGCCTGGATCCATGGCAACATGGCCTGTGAACGGCCGGGAGGATAATAATCAGTACGGCTTTGCAAACCACGATTTCACTCTTGTGGCGATGGTGACCGACCACAAAGTTCCGAAGATCAGCACTACTTTGCTGGGCTCGGTGCTGGCCAACCCATCAGCGCGCGAAGATCATTGGACTGTCGTACGGCGCGAACGGTGAGTGGGAGACAGTGTTTGATGGGAAGAAAACAGCATCGAGCAGCACGTGGGAGCTGGGGAGAGAATACCATGTGGCGCTCATGCTGCAGGACGGCAACAAGGGCTCCGTGTACGTGGATGGTGTGATTGTGGGGAGCCCAGAGACGATAACAACACTTGAGACGCTGGGACACGAAATCACACACTTCTACTTTTTGGGATGCGAGGGAGACATCAAAAGCGATGTGACGGTGACGAAAGTCTTTCTGTACAACCGCCCACTGAGTGTCGGTGAACTAAAAATGGTCAAGAAGAGCGACGCCAAAAAAGGTAACAGTGACGGCTCCATGCGTGGGGGGCGTGTCGCAGTTGCTGCTGTGCGGCATTGTGGCCCTTTACTGAGAAATCGCAGCGACGACTTCCTGCCTCTAGCAGGAACATATGCGTCTGGCCACGCGCTCTTTTAAATAATTACCACTTTTTGTGGACACTTTGTTTTAACCATTTTATTTTACTTTGCGCCCTTCTTGCTGTGCAGGACTTTTTCTCCATGTCGAAGCATGCTCTTCCTCCGGGGACTGCACCGCGGAGTTTTTTTTTTATTCCTTTCTTTTGTGTTGTGTTCCTCCGACAATTACGGGATCTACTCAGCGCTTTTTCTTTTTTTAGTGACCAGAGGCGCGCTCGGCACTGTGTGCCACGCCTATGGCGCCGGCTAGTAAAAGAGACAATGGAATGGGGACACGAAACCACGCCGAGTGCCCCAGTGGAATATAAATAATGTGTGGGCACCGGGGATTTAAACGACTGTAACGAGTGTATCGTATTTATCTTCAGGCGAGACATGCGCACCAATTTGGAGGCCACGCACCAGCGTGCAGTTTTTTTTGTTTTTGAGTGAATGCATAATGGAAGACGTATTTAACTTTATTTTATTTTACTTTTTAGCATATGTCCCGCGGCTCGCCACGGC